GCACATGCCAGAGCCATGCACAACTGCCTCATGTGAAAAATGAGCATAGGCTCCAGGTAAAACTGTCCACCCAGAAAGCCTAGATAATGCTTGCCATGAAGCAACAGCAGTTTTTAGTTTATCTCTTCTGTGCAGCAAGATCTAATTTCTGATTTCCTCATGCTGGCCTTCAATGGTCAGCACTGACAAAACCACTTGACGTAGTTCACTAGATTTAATTGTACTGAATTGTACTAGATTTAATTGTAATGAAAACAAAGGCTCTTAATGCACAATCCTCTGCATGTTTACTGAGAAGCAAACTCCATTGAGTTCAACAAAGATCTCAGCTTGAGTCTAGTAGTTTTTGTGTCACCTGAGTGTGAAGCAACAAAGGAACTCCAGTTTACATAGTTTGTGGCTTGTATTCTGGAGGTTTTAAGTTTCCCTTGCAGCTATTAGGAAAACATTTCTCACCATTTTACTTGGTGTTCCTTGGTGTTAAATCACTAGCACCCTACCTACTCCTTTACTGAAATGGTCTACAGGCAGAATAATTCTACAGTGGTAGTTGTACGTCACAAAATTCATAAAATTGTTTTCTTTCTCTGTCACCACCACTATATGGTTCTCGTGAGCTTCAAGCTGAAATCTTCTTCCTTAGCTGCTAAACCAAGGAGCTCAAACAATCTAAATAAAATTAGTTGTTCAAAAAGTACACAGAGAACAATCCTCAACACATATGACATAACAAAGTTAACACTCACAATATGAACTATGCACTATGCCTATTAACCTGAACTGATTGTGTATTTTTTTCTTACAAAAAGACAGGAGTTATTTGTTTGTATTAATTTTCAAAGGGGAAAAAGTGTTGCTAGTCATATCTTTAATGACATTTTACTACAACTCTTTCAAGACATCTGTGTTCAGATAAGCCGTAATGGTCAGCACTGCTGAGTGGGAACCTCACCAGCTAACAGGGAAGCTACTCATTCGAAACACTCAGGTAAAACAACAATGAATGGATAGGAAGTCCATTTGTATACTTGAAGCCATTCTCTGTAGTTTATAAGACATTTTTAGTCTTTCGTGTGTGAACAACATAGAGGAGAAACCATCATCTGTGCAGAGTACCTTGTTTTATCTGTCTGTAAAATCACAACTACAACCTTCAGTCTATATGCTCCTCTTACACAACTGTACCATGCACAGAATTAAATTAACATGGGCATGGCTGTAATTTAGTCATATAATATCCATACTTTTGTATAAAGCGGACTATTGGTATCTAACCACACAGTTTACCAGTGAAACTTGTAAAATAATAACTAATACACTTTTTTTAAACATGAGAAGCTTGTGAAGTGCTAAATGTCTAAATATGAATAACAAGTGTTTTCATTACCCATTTTTCCTTGAAATGTTTCTAACTGGCATGTGGAATATGAGACATGCAGGACTACCACCAGCCACATACAAGCTCGGTTTGTAACTTAGTGGTAGACCACATATACTTACAGGCAGAAGGTTCCCCAGTTCAATCCTGGACATCTCCAGGTAAGGCTAGGAAAATGCTATCCTGAAATTTTGGGCAGCCACTACCAGTGTCGACAATACAGAGTAAAACAGATCCAGTGGCCTGACTCAGTATAAGGCAACTTTCTATGTCCGTACGTTTCTAAGAAATGGAAGCTGTTTTTTGTTTTCAAAGGATCGCTCTTATTGGGCTAAACACCTCTTTTTCTTCTTCACATTTCAAGGTGGCTTCAGAAGCAGGGGCGAGGCAGAACTTTACAAAGTTCACAAGAAATGAGCTTTAAACACTGGCCTAGATATTAGTCAGCTCTTGTGAAGTAGAAAGCCCCATCTGCATGGCAGCTCTGGATTGCTTCCCCTTTGATGGGACCATTTCAAAAAATCAGGAAGTCTTAAAACTTTAGCATCTGGACCAGCAAATTACCTCCCTACTCCTCCTTCATGCCTCCTGTTCTTGATGTATGTCCTCTGGCAGCTGTTTGTCAGTTTTGCTGCCTGCCCAGTCTCCATCCTTGCTGAACTGCCATCCACTTAACATGGACAGCATGGTTTGGACCTTAAACCTGCTAGGAGTGGATATGACTTCAGCAAAGAAGGAGACTGTCCAGGCAGCAGCAAAAAGGCAGCTGCTAGAATAGATGCTTGAAAGTGTGGGAGGGGAGGGGAGGAAGAAGGATATCAAGGGAGATAATCACTTGTGCAATAATGGCTTCTTGACGTGAGATCAACAAATGTGTCCAATTGTCATACATGATAACTAGTACATGGAGGGTTCCCTGCTATTCTCTGTAAGTCTAAATGGGAACACTAAATGCAATATATTAAAAACAAACTTTTTAACCAGTTCAGTTTCTCCTTTATATGTAAAGCTAGTAAACAACATACACAGATAAACGTCATTCTAACACATACACACAACTTGTTAACATTTGAACACTTATTTAACATCCACTCACATTTCTGTACATATATATACTCTTTTAAGACAAAAGTGCCTATTAACCTGCAATGTTGATTGTATTACCACTGAGATTTTGTTGATTTTGTTCCCAAAGCTGTACATGTGTCGATGAACAGCATAGCTTTATTGGCATTGTTTAATCTGTTCTAAATATGCATGAATGACTTCTCTCTATTTTAGATAAAGCAGTAAATTTCTAATGTTCAGATTTATAATAAAAGAGCAAAGCTCCAGTACCAACCAGACAGGTTGCCAATAATCAGTAGATATAACACAGCGCTAAACCCAATGTTTTATATCTACATCATGTTTTATTTCTCAGTAACAAGGTGCACTGCAATGTGTCTTCTGAATTAAAATATTAGAATTATTAAAGCAATTAAACTTCTAGTGCAACTTGTGCAAATTAAATTTACATAAAACACACACACACACAAAACCCAAAACTGAACAGAATAGAGGCAGCAAAGAATGGGTGGAAAAGGAACTAGCAAAGCATTTTGAAGTGCTTTTGAAGAAGCTATGAAGTCCTGGAAACAGTAGAGAATCTGAGAGCAGTGCTTCTCATGGACAAGCGTGCTGGCAGTCCAATGGAAAAGGTGTTCAGCTGGGCAGTTAAGAACGTACCTGGCATTTCATATGGAGAGCGCGTACAATGGGATGTTTGGGTTGTGGGAGAGCTACTGTAGCTTTTGTAGCTTAAAAATGAAAATAAAAACAATGCTGACTGTATGTTAGCCAATGACAGTAAAAAGAAAATAGAGAGAAAAAGATCAAGCCTACGGAAAGCATGAGGGAAAGATTAGCTTTCATGTTAGGGCAGCATTTATTGATTTGATTTTAATAGCCAAGAAAATAAAATATGAAGGGAGTGGCACAACTTGAAATGGGACCCCCCTGCAGTCATGAAGAACTCTGGATCAATTATCCAGAAAGACAGACTGCGTCCACAGAGCTCAATTTACTTTTTGCTGACTTAAAGTTTGTCCCTGAGAGGACTGGACTGAAAAACATAGAAGTGAGAGAAATGACACATAAAGTTGAATCTTTGCAAACGTACCACCTGCAGCCTATCACATTTGGGAAACAAACATTGATTAGTCTGATATGGTAAATATTTCTATTCTGATGGTTTTCTCTGTAGTATGATTAATATAGTACATATATGGAAGAAAATTTTAAACACAGGCAGATGTTAAGAAAGGAGAAAATGTAGAAAGGTGATTGTTCCGTGATACCAGCTAGTAGGAATGCAGTCTCTTCTTGTATGTATATGTGGGAAATTCATATACAGTACATTAATTATTTTACTACTGTCAGCAGTCATGTACATGTGGTCATTTTGCCAGAGGAACAGAATCAGGGAAATTCTGAAGGTCTCCATCTGTGCTACGATGTGAAAGTGAAATTAAATAGGGGCTTTCTGTTAAAATATGTGCTCCAAAAATATGTGGTACTCTATAGCAGTAATATACCAGCAGGATTTTATGGAGCTGTGTTTTCACAATTCACAATTCCTGCCTGGAGGGAAGTAATCAGCCAAATTGTGCACAGAAAAGAGATACAGAAACCAAAGAAAAAATATAGGGACAACTCTATTTAAAATGGAATATTCCTTTCAAGGATAACAAACAATGATACATCGATTTGGTGTGCTTTACAAGCCACACATATATTATGGCTATTAACATTTTAGTATAATCATTATTAGTTAGGGCTAGGTCATGATGCCATCTCCAGCTATCTCTAGCTCTGAGGTATACTACTACTAATCGCTTACGCTGAGATGGCTATGCAGCTACCAGTCATGCACATAAAACACCAACTGACTTTGTCCCTCCTATATACCTAGCAGGCAGCCCTTTTGGAGTCTTGCAATGGCCTGTATACAGCCAAACTAGTTTTGTATGCTGGTAATAGAGGGTCAGAGGTTAGATACTTTTTGGGATTACAGCTTCCAGAATACCCCCAACCAGCAGGGTCAAGGGTTGTGGTAGTTAAGATATTCTGGGAGTTGCAGTCCATAAAGGTGATGTTCCCCATCTCTCCAGCTGGTGCAGGTAGCAATTCATACACCAAAATCAATTATATTTCTTGGCCCTTAATATTTTTTTTCTTCATTTATTATCAGGACATTCTTGCTTCTTATTAGGGCTCATTTTTGTTGTTGTTGCTGCTGCTCCAGGGAAGTGCTACAATGGCTCAGCCGGATAGTTATTGAACATGTAAGCGGTCTCATGCCTAAATGTCATGTCAGTGCATGTACATGGATTTCTGCACTGGGGATTTGATTGAGACCGTAAGATGTAGGAGGACTGTGCTTGCTGCCTAGCATCCTAGGCTGATAACACGACTAAGGATGGAACAGTTGAATAAAAGTTATGGGAACAGGCAAGTTTTGCTTCATATTAAAACATAATCTTTCTGTTGGGTATTGGTAGGCACCTTCTCAACACAAATAATCATTTAACAAAAACCAAACTGGGAAAAACATATTAAACATTGTATTGCAGATGCTTACTGCTATAACAGAAACTCCAGCAGCTGTGCTGTTAGGCTTAGGGCCTGTATTGAAATGCTTTTTTATCTTCCCAGCTACTGACAACTGATGCTCATTCTCTGGAAGGCCATCATCCTGCAAAGACAAAAGGTTTTAAATTATTTTCTACAAGAATAATTCTAGAAGTCTATCTCCAACCTGCTATTTAAGAAGATATTCATAACTTGGAGGATCTCTTTGATTGGTTTTCTGAATGTGCAGCTTATAGAGAATTAACTAGCCTTCTGTATATCATCCACTGGCCTAATAGTTCTGGGGTATATACTGGTGATTTTTAATAGTTAACATATGCTGGAATGCAGCCAGAAATTGACCTTATAAGAGTGACTTATTGGGCACTTTCATGTTCCATTAAAATAGCTCTGTGAAATCCTGATACCAGTATGATTTCATGGGGCATACAATTAATAAAACATGAAACAGAAAAGTAAGTTGTTACAGTAAGTCTGGGCTTCCTCTGAAAAATCCCATGCCTTTTTTGTCAATGAGGCAATATGATTATATATGCAGACCCATACATTATGACATCCAGAACACTGAATGTTCTTCCTATAAGTATAGCTGAGATTGCAAACACAGCTACTTTAGACTAGCCCCACTGAAGGGTGAGGGCTCCCTCTTACAGCTAGTAACAACTGACCAGCATTCTAATACTTTACACTTATAGCAGTACCCACACAAAATTGGAGTAATATTCTGTTTTGTATTTCAAAACCGTACATCTTGGCACATCTCATTCTGAACAATAATGTTATGATTAGAGCTGCACGTATGTTTTGTCCAAGTCCTGAATATATTATTCCTTAATTCTACAGATAAAATGAAATCCTTACATGCAACAGAAAGATGCTGTCCTGGTTTACAATTTTATACTGACTCTTCCTTCCTGATCCAGGTGATGTGCACAGTATTTAACACAAGGATTATTTTTTTAAAAAGTTAGAAGTGGCCATAATATTTAATGGAGACAGGACTGCCTTACATTAAGCTACCCCTCAATAACATGAGAAATGTTTATATAATGCCATAAATAAAATGAACATGTCATTGGCAAAACTCCAGGAAGCAAGTTACACATTCCAGAAACACAATATTGTGATTTCCTTGCCACATTCTTGGATGCATTTTTAAAATACAAGTGGAGAAAAATATTATTAGAAATAGGTTAAATACTTGAGAGATATTTAAAACTTGTCCAAAACTGCATTCCAGAAGACTTGACAAGAAAAGGAAAAAAATAATGTACAGCAAAATAAAATAAAACTAGCAACCTCTAAATTTACTTACATTAACCCACGGGTGTTCAAGGACTTGCAAAGCTGAAAATCGCTGATCTATATCTACCTGAAGCATCATCGTAATAAGTTCCTGCAAAATGAAAAAATTATACCCAAATAAGTTTATTCTAATGGGATATCATTGCAAAAAAAATTGTCACCAACTGATTATAGCAAATAAGCTATTCTCTTTTTCAATTGTAAACCATGACAGCAGAAATTTTTACATAATGCCACAAATAAAAGGAAAATGATATTGCAATTTGCAAAATTATTTTTTCTGCAGAGAAAGCACAATGAAAATCTAGTGAGTGGGTTCATTTTGATTTTCATCAAACAGAACTGATTTTTTGAAATCCCTTCAGAGTTTTAACTCAGTCAGATATTAGCAAAAATACTCAGTGCTGATGAATAAGTGAATGGAACATGGGAAATGCAACAACAACAGCAACAATGTGCAAAGTTGATTCCAACTTGTCAGGGTTTCCTAGTTACACCTATTAACCAAAGCACAGAGTTTTGAAGTATTTTTGTTTCTAAGATGGCAGAATAAAACACTGACATTGATTACATGAATTCTTCACTAGTTATAACTTGGAAGACAGAGAAACCTATAACTAAGTATAGAAAAACGTGCACACATTCAAATGGGGGTTTGTAAAGAGGTCACTTGCAAAATAATGACAGACTTGATAAATTTACCTTTGCAGAGTCAGAAACATTATCCCAATATGGAGATGGGAAATCTACTTGTCCCATCAAAATTTGGTCAAATAGGACTTCCTGATCTTCTCCACTTCTACATGGGAAGGAAAGAAAACCATCAGTTTTGATCACTGTTTCTAACAAGTGATAACTAAGTGAACACGTGAAATACCAGGTTTCTACATTTCAAATCCCTAAAAAATGGCTTCTCCTGTGTTATAGTGTCATAGTAGTAATCTACTGGAGAACATAGAGATGTGGTGGCACTGCGGGCTAAACCGCAGAAGCCTGTGCTGCAGGGTCAGAAGACCGGCAGTCGTAAGAATGAATCCACATGACGGAGTGAGCTCCTGTCGCTTTGTCCCAACCTAGCAGTTCGAAAGCATGCAAATGAGAGTAGATAAATAGGTACCATCTCGGTGGGAAGGTAAAACGGCGTTCCCTAGTCACGCTGGCCACGTAACAATGGAAACTGTCTTCGGACAAGTGCTGGCTCTATGACTTGAAAAATGGGATGAGCACCATCCCTTAGAGTCAGACACGACTGGACAAAAAATGTCAAGGGGAACCTTTACCTTTACCTTTACTGGGGAACACGAACTCAAATGGCAAATGCCACTAGATCAGAAAGGGAGGAAGCCTATTTTAGCTGGTATGGCCAGTAATATTTCTCAGCTGCCTTCACCACAATAGCTACCAGAGGAAGAAGCAGCAGCTGCCTTTTCACTGTGCTTAAATCCAATTCTGCAAATTGCTGATATGTTTATCTGCAGGCATTAAGTTACTGAATGCTGTAACCAAGATTACAGTGCCTGCATGTATTTATTTATTTCCTTTTCCCTTACAATTCCTTTTCCTTTTGTGTTGTGTCTTTTAGATTATAAGCTTGTGGGCAAGGACAGTCTCATTTTTTTACTATCTGTAAACTGCTACAGGAGCTTTTGTGAGACAGTGTAAAATAAATAAATAAAGAGAAAGAGACAAAAAGAGAGGGTGGTGGGGTTCACAGAAAGTTGCTTTTGTTAATACATCTGAAATTAGCAAGTCCCTACACTTTATTCTTGCATCAAAGATACACTTGATCTACATTTTATTCATTTCTAAAACAATTTAGCATTGTATCTGTATTGCAACAGGAAAAGAACTATGCTTTTTCCCCAAAAGGTAAATACTAGGAATTATTTTAATAGAAATAACCTTAAGGATTGCCTTCTGATGTTCTATAATCAAGTTGTTTATGTAAAATCAGGGAAGGGGAACTTTGCCATGCAATTTTTATTATACACTGAGAGATAAACCATGTGGGCTACTGATGGAACAGAGGTGCATTGTTAAATGATACAATATCATAGTCCATACCCACGAAATGGAGGAAAGCCACAAAGCAGGATGTAAGTAATCACACCAGCAGCCCAGATGTCCACCTTCAAGCCATATCTAAAAGTAATTAGAGATAAATATTAGCTGTACCAAGAACACAGAATTGATTTACCAAGAATAAATTGAAAAGGGTATAATGGCAAAGATTATAATTAAATTACTTCATGTGAATTAAATATGCATTTTTATAACACATTTGTATTATACTAGGGAAAATCTAAAACAATGGCAATGCATGATATAAGACAAATATTACATATATTAATTCAAATGCAATGTTCTGCATCTTTCAGTGGATGCTTTCTATTCACATGAACGACTCAAGAACCCATTTGATAGCTTTCTTCAGATGTCATTCACTCTATATAACAGATGCTACATAACATGGGATAGAAGGAAAACAGATGATAAAGAATAAAAAGTGTGCAGTTATGATGAATACAACATCAGAAGCTCATTTATACTCTTGAGGTTTTATTTATTAAATATTTATCGTATTGAAGTGACCCAATATTACAAGCTGGCTCACCCAGTTTCTGCAATGATTTCTGGTGCTACGTAAGTAGGTGTCCCACAGACAGTGTAAAGAGGTCCATCAACTATGGTGGCCAGCCCAAAATCTCCCAGTTTCAGAGACTTGCTTCCATCTTGGTGTTCATAAACCTGTACAAACACATTTATGCATTAGTGTTTTCTGTATGTTGCTGTAACAGGTGTGCATATCCTTGTCCCCATTTTTAATGAATATTTTTGGATCATAAAATGCACACCATCTCAGTTTAGGTATTTTATTATTATTTTAATCTCAGATTTCTCTCTGAAGTGTTACGAGTGCCATCGATAGCTTCATTCTTGTCAACACACTAAACAAAAACAAACAAACAAACAAACAAACAAACAAACAAACAAGGGAAATGAGCAAGTATTACATTATGGGAATGGCCGTCAAGACGTCCTGGTCTACAATCTTCAAATATCCCCATCCCAGGTCATTTTAGGGATTATATGCTATAAAAAGTAGTCTGGATTGTGCTGACAGCAAGCAGGTAGCCAATGGATCTGATGTGACTAGGGAATTCTGTGCTCCCCAATCAGTCCTGATTTTGTGCAACTGCCCAGGAAAAGATAGCATGCCATACCCTAACTCCCCTTCCTGAGCATTTTCAGATTCATTTTCTTCATATGCAAGGGGCACCACAGGTTCAAGCAACGAGGAGCCAAAAGCAAACACAAAAGGAACGTGAACAAAAAAGGGAGAAGCATTTTACATTAAAATAATGAAGAAATTTAGGATTCAGTTTGAAGTACCCCTGTCTTTCCACAGCTGACATCCATGCTTCTTCCATTTCTGAAGCAGAATTAATCTTGAAAGGCGCATTTAGTTCACTCCTAAGTTTTGGCAACAGTTGTACATTGCTAAGAATGAAGGTAGACACCCCACCCCACCCCGCCATGCCTTGTGGGACACCTGAGAGGCAGAAATCAGCATCTGGCGGGTGCTGCACTTAATGCCTTAAGGCACATTCAACTCAATTATTCTATATCTCTTTGACACTGACAGCAAGGAAAATATATGCAATTTTATTTTATTAATAGATCCCTCTGTGTTGCTCTACTTTGTTACACTTCCTTACTAATTAAATTGAAAGCTAGGCAGTCACCCAAACCTACTGAAGAAACAAGGCAAAATGAAATAATGTATTGTAATTTGCTTATATTATAAATAATATTTTAAAAACTCTTCTCTCCCACTAGGCAGCTGTGTTTAATTGCATGGAAACAGAACTATATTGTGCCATCAAATCTATTTTGTGAGAAAACATTTTGTATTCAGAGATCTATTCTGCCCTGTCTCTCCCTTCGGTTAGCTTTCAGTGAGCTCATAGAACTGGAACTTTTATTCAGAAAGGGCCAGCAATCTGAAGTTCTCAACAAGCTAGTTTTTGACAGCATGAAAATGTATATGGGAAAGAAGGAAGGTATTTAATAAAATCTAATTGCAGCATTATTAAAAATATGGGTTATTAAGTACATCTGGCTTATGAAACTTTAAGAAAGTGCTTGCAGAAGTCGCAGCAATAAATTCTTTTTCAACATTTTTTTTATTAGGGAGTTGTAAATTAGACATTTTAAAGATGTTCTAATGGACATATCAAACAGAATTAGACATCAGATAGTACATTAGACAGCATATGAAGATTCATTAATAAATAATCACTGGTATTACGATAAACAAATAATTACGCATGCAACTGAGCCATGATAGTCAAGAGACACAGAGCAAATCCGGGAAACGTTAATCATAATATGAATGCTTCTATGGCTATCGACTTTAAAAAGCCCTTTCCCCAGGATTTTTAGCCAGAAAATATTTCCTATGGTGATATTCTTCTTGGGGGTTTTACGATCAGCCCCTGAGGAAGAGTTTACTTTCATAAAAAGGAAAATAAAATTCTTCACATGTAAACAGAGAAACACAGGAAGGGGTCACATGCCCCTTAACTGCTAACAAGTGGGATTAAAGACCTAAATGAGACTCCAATGTGAAGCAGTAATATTTTAATTGTCTGCCCTGCCAAGAGCAAAGAATGTGGAAGATCATTTAAAGCTCATCTGAGTCTGAAAGTAAGCTCTTTACAAGTTCTATTTTCCTTTAAGCCCTGAAGGGCAATTAAAGAGATGTGGATTAGTGCAAATTACCCGCCATGTAGTGCTTTCACTGTTTTAACTAAGCAATAAAACTGTGTAATTGTACAACACTAATTGAATCCAGCTACACATAATTGTGTGCTACCATATGTATACTATTACTCTAAAGACTGTCCATATTTTCTAAGCTGCTCTTGTGATCACTGCAGATGGCAACAGTCAGAGAAGTTGTTCTCTTGGGCTTATTATATGGCTATAAAGCTATCCCATGATTTGACAAAATAATCATGTTAAATAGCAGCAATTATGAAAAAATGCTCCAATTAAAATGTGGAAGGCATGCTTTGCCAATAGCAGATGAACTGAATGCAGAAGTGAAATACTGCAGCCTTTATACATGCAAAGTATTTCAAATAGCTAGGGCCCTTTCCCTTGAATTGCTAAAGTGGCAAAATAGCTAGTTGATTAATACCATGTGTACAGGAATTTGACAGCAATACCAAGCACAGTAAATCAACAAAAGAGGTGTGACCAAGCCAAAATAGAGTTCCTTGTCAATATAGTTTAAACACACTTTGGTATCCCTTTATGTGGACATGTGTCAACCTCTGCCTTCATACATGTCGAAATTACCTTTATTTTAACTGTGACAATGTGGTTGGGAAGGGGGTACATTCAAAAGTCTCAACAATTTAAGTATGGTAAAGCATGAACTCTAAATCTCCTCCTTCCCCTGTCAGCACAAAATTAGAGCTGATATCAGAATTTTAACTTACAGAAGTTATTGAAACAAGTATAATACAAAGTTAAATACAAAGCACAGAAATGTGACATGCTGTGTGAGATAAAACATTACAAAAGGTATAATGTCAGTACTGATGCTGAGGGGAAAAACTTGCTTTTGGAATACTGTGCTTTTATCAAGTGATGGTGCTGGTGGAGGTGATAATATATAGCAGTAATGGCATAACAGTTACAAATGGCTTTCTCAGCAATAAGGGCACCCAAAGCAATTTAAATTATAATAATATTCTAGTAGAACTAAATCCCAAAAGAATTAACCATTAAAAAAAATCCAATATATCTAGAATTATCAAACGTAATACTTGTAGTGGGAGAAACACCATGTACTGCCAGTTCAGAAGATGATACATTTCTCTACACCATCTTTCTACTAACAGAAGCATGGAGAAAGACTGTATGGATACAGTTAACATGCATGATTTGGTTGTTTTATAGATTATCTAAAACTGCAATCCTAAAAGCTCTTCTTTGAAAGTAAACCCAGCTGAAATCAATGGAACCTATTTCCTTGTGAAGTAGTTAGGATAGAAGTATAAGGACTGATGCTGGTTTAGGAAGTATCCATGTATCTGTATCTTTATTTATATCTTGTTGCCAATTTATAGCAAGATGAGATATTTAAGGATTGGTTTTACCACTTCTACTCCCCCAGTGAGTTTCCATGGCTGAGCACGGATTCAAACCCAGGCATCCTGAGTCCTAGTCCATCACTTTACAGTGGTGCCCTGCTTGACGATGTCCCCACTTGACAACGACCCCGCTTGATGATGAAATCGCTTAACAAGTTTTTTGCGATCGCTATGATGGTTCCTATGTTTTTTTTAACTTTATGATGATTATGTTCCTGTTTCGTGAACCGATTGTTCGCAAGACGATGATTAAAAAACAGCTGATTGGCGGTTCGCAAATGGCTCCCCGCTGTTTTCCAGAGCTATTTCCACAAGATAGGGATCGCAAAATGGCCGTCCTATGGAGGATCTTTGCTGCACGAGCAGGTATTTCCCCCATTGGAACGCATTAACTGGTTTTCAATGCATTTCAATGGGTTTTTTTTCCGCTTGATGACATTTCGCTTAACAGCGATTTTCCTGGAATGGATTATAGTTGTCAAGTGGGGCACCACTGTATTATATCCTATTGGGCATCCGTATTCACATCTGTAGTATATATAAAATAAGTTACTTTATATGGGTGCCTCAATCTAGTCAGAGAAAAAAAAAGCACATCAGCACTTGGGAGTCTATTAACCTTGACTTTGATAGTCATTGTGACAGTCATTTAGAAAACATTACTTTGCAATGTTTGATACTCGTAGAAATAGCAACGTTCAACCACACACTTTAAGTGATAGTGTCTTAATACGGAAATTTAATGATATCACTCACTGTGAAATACAGTGGTGCCTCGCTTAACGAGCGCTTCGTTTAACAATGAATTTGCTTAGCGATGACTTTTTCGGAGCGTTTTTGCGCTATGGTCCCTATGGGCGATTTTTGCTTACCGATGTTGGGACCATGCTTCGCATAACGATTAAATTTTGGGGTCCCCTGTTTCGCTTAACGATGGTTTAAACAGTCTCATGTTTGCTGTTTTTTAAATGTTATAAAGTTAAAGTTTACTGTTTAAAATGTCTGAAATCATAAAGTGCACTTAATAAACCCTTTGTTAGCCAAATATGACTTTCTTCTGACTCTTTTTTAATTTGTTGTTGAATTCCCCCCCCCCATTGAGATGCACTGAATAGGTTTCAATGCATTTCAATTGGAGAACTGCATTTTGCTTAGCGATGTTTCCTATGGCAATTTTCGCTTAAGGACGGCAATTCGTTCCTATTGGAACTGATTATCCGGTTTCCAATGCATTTCAATGGGAAACCACGTTTCGCTTAGCGATGTTTTCACTTAGTGATGAATTTTTTTGAACCAATTAAAATCGGTAAGCGAGCCACCATTTGTACATAAAACCTGACACAACTGCAACATGTGCTCCAGACCTCTAGATACATTAACAAAAATAAATTTAAAACATTGCAAATACTTGTGATAGGTCAGTATGTATAATTTTAAGCAAGAAAAACAACCCAAAATCAAGGAATTGGATTGCAGGCAGGCTACTGCTGTCAAATTCTAAAAAACCTTGATACAAAAGCATTGTAAGCATTACCTTATGAGACCAACTTTGCCATTCTAACAAACAAGACTTTAATGAACCTTGACATGTGGTTTCTATTTCTTATTTATGCTGCAGAGTACTAACCGACTAACATTAAGAATTCTATACGGCTAAGTGCATTATTATAAACAGAGACTGAGAAAGTTACTTTCTTAGATGACAACTCTGAGAAATCCCCACAAGCATGACAGGGGACAGAAAATGACAACTAATGCATGACTCTTTTATAAACCATGCAATTGTAGCAAAACTTTGAAAATACCTGAAAGTGAAAATGCTCAGTCCATCTATGATACACATTTCAATGTAGGCAGTTCTCTGATATCCACCTCAGTGCAGTTGGGAAGCAGACAACCAATACAGTACTTTGACAGAATGTTCAAAAATGCCCTGTGTGTTGTACTTACCAGTAGATTTTCAGGCTTAATATCCCTGTGAACAATGTTCAGGCTATGGAGATATTTGATAGCACTGGCCAGATTATATAGCATCCCACTGGCATCCCGTTCTGTATATTTGTTTGTGGAAGTAATGGCATCAAAAAGGTCTCCACCCTGAAATAAAGAAATCATCATGTATGAGCAACCTGCCTCTAAGCACAGAAAGGGATGCTGATGGGATTCCAGAGATACTGTTAAAAATGTCATTTTCTTTCATGACACCATACCAAAGGAAAGGCTTAAAACCTCCGAGTACAGGTTGCTGTCCTCTGAAGATGCCGGCCACAGAGACTGGCGAAACGTCAGGAAGAACAACCTTCAGAACATGGCCAAAGAGCCCGAAAAACCCAGAACAACCTTAAAACCTCTGACAGAAAATCCATCCACTGACATAGATCAGGGCTAAAATATTACTGTGATTTTACTTTGGAGTAACCGAAGTTGTGTAAGTCGTGGTGGTAAATTGTAGTTAATTAATGAGGTGCCAGAGGTGTGACTGATCATGTACAAATCATGCAACAGGTGTGCAACCCACACCTTCACAATACGCTGCAGTTTTCCTTTGCAACTTACATTATCTCCCTCACTTGGAAAAAATCCCAATATGATTTTGTCCCACGCATGTCAACTGTTTCTGGACTCTCCATTATATGTATATGAAGATACCAACACATATACAACATTAGAATTGAGGAGCAAGAATGCCAGGGTGGCCTTCTGTGGTGTATTCATTTTTATTATATGCAAGATTTTTGAAGCAAGGGAAAACATTTAAACATTGTAGCTCCCCTTCCCAAAGATCTACAACAGCACACACCACGTACTGTTCTATCACATGTTCTTTGTAGGGTGGTCTATACTATGCTCAACTGTAGAAAAAGAAATGTAGTGCCTGTAATTTAAAAAAGAATGGAAGAATACCCTACTCAAACGTACACAGAAGGCCTGGATTTTCTTGGGTAGGGCTTGTTTCAGGGGAAATCAGTGCTGAAGGGCAGAATAACCTGAGCATTCCTCTCAGGGAGTTTTCTCTCTGTGCTGCAATACTTTTCCCAGAAACAGCCTTGAGTATATTTGTGTGTTGGGAGGGGGAAAATATAACTCTTTCCCCCATGTGAAATTTATTTCAGCTACACACAAAAGTCCTCCAACTTTGGCTAGTTTTACCACTTGAACAGAGTGTTCATGGAAGGAAGAGAAAAGAAAATATTAATATCAAATACAGGGAGTTTTGTGACCTCCTACTTGAATAAAAGCTGGATGGACAGCTCAGTGATTTAGGTATCTGGCTGTAGAACCAGAGTTTGGGAGTTCAATTTCCCACTGTGCCTGCTGTGAGTAGAGCCAGACGGTGTCATCATGGGCAAGCTGCACAGTCCCAGGACATCCTCAGAAGAAGGGAATACAAGTAAATCACTGCTGAGTATTCTCAGAATTGACTTGAAGACACATTATTATTATTATTACTTGAACAAATGCCTTGAAGGATTTACTTTACAGACAACTCACTCGGATATAAAAAGAAAATTCTTCCGACTCCCCAAATGCGAGCATTTCTGTCTTACTAATTTACATCACCCATCATAACTGGATTCATGAGTTCAGGAATGCTGTTTCAGTTTGCCCATATAAATTTTTCTCCCTTCTCCAACTTTCTAGAATCAGGACAAAAAACAGCAGCACTTGAATATACTTTATTAATGTGTTCTCAAGGAACAACCAAGCCGTATCACCTAGAAGCATAAGGCACCACAATCCAGAGGTATAGCAACCAATTATTTCTTTACTAGCTTGCAATATAAATGCTGTAACTATTTTTTTCTCTCATGTGGAAGTGAAATTAGATCCTTTCAACAGCAGGAAGAAATGCTATAATAAATCATCCTTGTTAAAATAGTTAAACCAGGTCCTGTGCTAGCCTTGAATGATAATTTGGTCTCACTATGTAGAATGGCAGCTTGCCAGCAACCACCTCCTTTCCCCTTTTCACAAGCTCTATTTGCATCATGGCTTTATTTGTATTTATTAAGTGCTTTCCTCACACTCCAAGCCCTTTAACCAGCAGTGTGCAGCGTGCCTGACAATAAACTAGAACATGTCTGCAGCAGAAGTGGCAACTTATGTCCAACTTGTTACTGCCAATTCATGCAAAATAGCATTGGCTAATATCTGGCGCTCCACCACATTGAGGCTTTCCTCCTAAATATCTTTTCCATCTGTGAACTTGAACTTGATTTAAACTTGGGTCCTTCAAAAGTCCGTATTAGCCTGTCTGTCTCAGATGGCCATGCAAAAAGAGACACCTTGAACTAGTGGTGAAGTGATCATTCAGCAGCGTTCAAATATTCTTGCTTTGGAACTTGTTTTTTTTTTTAATTAAAAGAAATAACAAGGGTTGTTCAACAGTAAAAGGTTATTTATGGGAACAGAGACCCCTGCTGGGCTGAGACATCTCAGAACAAAATTGCAGTACATATTTAGGACAGTTCTGAGGTTTTGTTTTGTGGCATAGAACATATTTAATGCAGAAAGTCACAGTTTGCTTGTAACTCATAAAATTTTGCTGGATTTGATGTCCTTTCCACAATCCGTTAACTAATCCAGCATTATTTTAAGAAAGGCAGCCGTAGAACTTTGCATGCAGAATCTCAAGAGTTTGAATCTTTGACATTCACAGTGTAGGGCAACAAAGTACAGAACCACTTCCAAGGAAAACAAACAATGAATGTATTTGTACTAAACACTTATAGCAGTTTTGCTTCACTCTTAAGAGCACGGCTCCACTCAAAGCAATCCTGGGATTAGTTGTTTGGTGAGGGATTCAGAATTCTCTTCTAGAAGAATCTAGTGCACTTCCTTGAACTATAGCAGAAGATTCTAAGGACTTCATCAAACTACAAATTCCCAGATTCCTCAGTATGAGACTTTAACTATTACAGAGGTATCAAACTGCTGTAATGGTGTAATATAGTTACACTCAATACCAGGCTTGATGAACCAATAGCGTCCTAAGAATAATAAGTACTCTGAAACAGACCCATCTTATTCAGCATCTTGATCGCCAAAGCAGCCAAGAAATGTATTCTCGAAGGCTTTCGCAGCTGGGATCCAATGGTTGTTGTGGGTCATTCCACGTCAAATTAACCAATGCATGGAACCTTGATGTCATGGATTTGGTTCATTTTTGGTACATTTTTACCTGTCCATTAGATGTTTTAAAAGGGGTTGTTTTTTTCCAGATTTTTTAGTCCACCCGTTTCTGAGATATTGCATTAAATTCTCTTCAGAACACGGCCAAACAGCCCGAAAAACCTACAACAACCATAGCCAAGAAATACCCAATGCCTAGCATATCACTGGCTGTGCTGTCTGGTGGATTCTGGAACTTGTCATCCCAAAAGTAATTTCCCCAAATAGAAAACCCACAAAGAAAGCACGACAGCAATAGCAGACTGCAAAGTTCCTCTGAACCTGGAGTGTCCTTGAAGGCATCATGGCAAGTAGTCAGTGATGAAATGGTGCTCCACATAACTGTCTAATCCCTCTTTAAACCCAGTAAGAGTAAGCTGCACATGATTTCCATCCCTCTCTGCAGAGGACTCCTAGGCATGGATCTTCTTTGCTTGCTATGTTTATACACTATCTTTCCTGCACACACAGCCCTCTTCATCTCCATTTTATCCTTACACCAACCTTGTGAAATAGATCAGTGGAGAGATGGTGACTAACCTAAGGTCAGCCAGTGAATTTCATGGCTGAGTCAGGATTTGAACCACATTTCCTGAGTCCTAGTCCAGCTTTCTAAACACTATCCTCCAATGGCTTTGTGATCTCTATGGCTGATGGTCAAAGAGTGGTCCTCAGCACTGTTATATCCATGAGTTACAGTCATCAATCTGATGTATGGTGCTTGCTTAGTAGAAATTACATGTTTAAGGTGTATAAGTAAGGTCAGGAAACTTTATAATAGTAGTAGCAGCCAATCAAAAAACGAACCACTGTTGATCTCCAAATAGCATATATTTGCAACGGGTTCTTTCCCTGTCCAGTCTGACTCTGTATCTTAGATTTAACATATACACTCCTCATTTACTTAGTTACTGTTTTCAAGGAAAAAATTGGGCCAAACCAATTCCCAAGATCTTATGACACAGTGATTATCAACCTCCCCGCCCCTTAACAGATTCTTGTCTTTGGTTATGCTACACTACCCCACCACAGCTGTGCAGTATGATTTCAGAAGGGATTGGGGACCTGACAAATAGGTAATCGTTGGTTATAAAAGCAGGCAAACTGCCTGTGACATATACAGACCTTTACAAGCTCCATGACCAGGTACAGTTCAGTGGGCATGTCCATCTCTTCAATCAGAAGAACAATATTGGGATGCTTGACCCTTCTTAAAATAGATACTTCATTCTGGATCATATGCTCCTACCACAAACCAAGAAAGAAAGAAAAGACACATGTGGAAAGGAAATGGGAGTAATTTATATATGCTATTATTGTATACCGTATTTGCCGGTGTATAAGGCGACTGGGCATATAAGACCACCCCCCAACATTCCCACTCAGATTGTAGAGTTTGTTATATACTTGCTTTATAAGACTACCCCCTCTTCCATATGCGTGATTCTGCTTTGGCTGCATCATGGGGAGAGTTCCTTTTGCCCCTTTTGGTTCCTTTTCGGAGAGAGCCAGGGTTTGCTGGAAGAAGGAACAGTAGAGAGGCGGCAGCCATTTTGAGAGGCAGCAGCCATGCGGTCACATCTCAAAATGGCTCCCACCTCTCTGCTGTTCCCGACAGTCAGCTGTTCGGCCCTAGAGTCAGGCTGTTCCCAGGCTAGGAGCGGGGCTCTATTCGGTCTTACTACCAGGTAAGTGACTTCACTGGGAGAGGAGGGTTTGCTGGACATGCACCCGGCATACAAGACGACCCCCCCCCCACTTGGAGGCATGTTTTTCAGGGCCAAAAAGTCATTTTGTACACCAGCAAATATGGTAGGTTGTTAACAAAAAAGGATTTAACAAAAACCAATCATTCTCTATTCTTTATTGCCTGACAGACAATGTATGTACACAACCTTCAGAATGCATAAAGAACTTTTAAAACCCTTACACATAATAAGGCTGTCCCAAGCCTATGTCAGGAATCTGGCAACAGCAGTGTCAGAAGAAAACACATGGGAAATTAAATTGGGAAAGGGACTAGGTTTTTAATGCTTTTAATCCTATACCTGTTTTCTTAGAAGCAAGCACAGAACTTCACACGTTTGCTTTTGAGTAAATCTGTCCACATTTGGAAGGACAATTCTTAAATTCCTTGAAATTATTTATATGGAAAAATTATTTTTCCAACAATAAATGAAACATTAGTTTTATTTTTCTTTTAAAAACATTTGTTGTACATGCAGACTTTCAATTCTGGAAACTGTAGTCCAAAAACACAAATACAATAGTCATTTCATATCTGTGCAATCAGTAGCCACAGTTTCTGTTATCCACAATTGCCACTGCTTCAACCCAGCCTCCAGTATGCATGTGCATTTGCCTCATCTTCTCAGCTTTCCCTTCCTTCTGCTTTTTTCAATGGGTTTCCTGGTATCTGCGGTTTAAGGTATCTGCAGTTGATCCTAGAACAGATCACCTGCAGATATGGGGGTAGTGGAACTACTGCATGTATATCTATAGTGCATTATAGGTAATACTGACTGAAATCCAATAATAAATCACAGCTGTAATAGGCCCACTGACCTAGTGGGTATTTGATGGGTCAATTCCATAAATCCACTTCTACTGATTCAATGGGCTTACTCTAGTTGTGACTTACTGTTGGATTTCAGCCATTACGTATGTACCATATTTTTCCGTGTATAAGACACCCCATGTATAAGCTTTCCTAATCCTTTTCTAACCCAAAATTAAGAAATCTAAGTGGGGCTTAGCAAGTGGAGAGGGAAAGGGATCAAAGCACTGCAGGATCACTATGATCCCTGCTTTCGCCTCCACTTGTTTTTGTTCTCTCCTCCGCTTACTTCTATGTATAAGACAACCCTCAATTTTTAGTCTAAAGATTTTAGACAAAAGTATCGTCTTATAGGAAAGTGTTGGCGCTGTGGGTTAAACCGCAGGAGACTCTGGACTGCAAGGTCAGAAGACGAGCAGTTGTAAAATCAAATCCACGCGACAGAGTGAGCTCCTGTCGCTTGTCCCAGCTCTTGCCAACCTAGTCGTTTGAAAGCATGTAAATGCGAATCGATAAATAGGTATCACCACGGTGGGAAGGTAAGGGCATTCTGTGTCTAGTCGCGCTGGCCATGTGACCACGGAAACTGTCTATGGACAAACACTGGCTCTACGACTTGGAGACGAGGATGAGCACCGCACCCTAGAGTCAGACACGACTGGACTAAATGTCAAGGGGAACCTTTACCTTATTGTCTTATACACAGAAAAATATGGTATATGCAATTATTTTATATTTGTGTTTTACAATTCTATAACTATCTAATTGTTGTAAGAATCAGATGCTTCAAATACAAAATACTTTAAAAAACACATACAAAAAAGTCAACTGAGTCACTGTGTAAGCAAGCGGCCTTTATCTCATGGGTTGTCATGAAACAGAAGTCCAAGGAAACAATGTTCAGCATGAGTACATCCAGGTGTTACCAACAAGCCAAACTATCCCTGAACCCAAAAAATGAACATGAATTTTCTAAGATAAATACTCACTGTGAAGAATCTGTACTTACTTTTCCTCTACATTTACTTTTTTTGATGATCTTCAGGGCATATTCTCTACCAGTTGACCTAACAAAAAGCAGAAAAGGAAAGGGGGAAAAATAATAATAGAATAATGTGTTATGTTATCAAATCAAACAATATCATGTCCAAACTCTCTAACTCCGTTTCTGTCTATGTTGTTGATGTTGATCAAGTTAAAAAGAAAGAAATAAAAAGCTGCTATTTTCCAGAACAACATGAGAACCTTCGACTGAGTAGTTCTACAGAGTGATCCGAGATGTAAAACTTTAGCGCATCTAAGGACCAACATTTAGTTGCCCAGGGTCAAATAAGATAGGATGCAGTGCTCAATCCCTTTCCACTCTAAACTACTCTCTCTATATAAACTGCTTTTAAATGCTGAAAAAAAAACCACCAACAAGTACACATTTGTCCCCTAGTATGTTCCTTGGAATTTGCAGTGTACCAACATTTCTGCTTTGATGTATACCTGGACCTCTATCTGTGCCTTTCCTGTCCCCCATCTGTAAACATAATAACATGCTTAGGGGAGATTTTTGGATTTTTTTGTTTTGTTTTTTGAAAAGGAAGAAGAGGTTACATTCCACTTCCCAGAATGCCATGTCTCCAGACTTCAAAGAGGATCAGTACCAGATCTCCTGAATCACATCTATTTCTGCCTTAAGGCTCTGCTGGCATCATATCAGCACTACTGTACTCTGAACAGGCAAAAATAGATCAATAAGCATCCTGTCTTCTGAAGATGAAGATGTGCAGGTGGAGATGCATGTGTGCTTCCTTGTGAGATTTGCATAGAAAACATCTTGTTTGAATCATAATATGTATGAATAAACATTTGCGAAACAACACTAGTATACTATATGTTAGGGAAACCAAATGGCTCCAAAATATTTGGTTTCAGTTCTCATGTTTCCTTCTGCATTTTAGAATGTGTAAATGTTATAAAGGATGTGACTGTATTGTTTTCAAGCAATAGCCATTTAAATTGTTTTAGCGAGAAAAAAATATATAAATACATTCATTTGCATGGTGCTATATCCTTTGTTAAGCATCGAGCGGGGTGGGGGTGGGGAATAGCTAGAAAAGACTCCAGCAGGGCATACTATAAGAATGTCATAAAGCCATTTGTTTGTTAGAACTGTGGATAACTCAGTAGTTAAGCCCAGAGTCTGAGAGTTTGGTTTCCCACTGGGCCTCAGCCATGGGGGCTGGACTCCCTGATCCCCAGTTCCAAAGTCTAGGATTTATTATTATTGTCTGTTACTGTTGGAACATGAAATGGCCTTCTAAAATTCTCCACTTTGTAGACAGATAAATCTGGAGAACCATTTAATTCAGTTTCTCCCTGGAGAGGTGGATCTTTTCATTACCCTTCAGCAGTAACATACTGTCTTTCTTTCTCCCACTGCTGTAGACATTTTGGTGAGAAATATTCAGAGAAATTTTTGTGGAGTGCCATTCTTTTTCATGAGGATGTAAGGAATCTTTTTTAAAAAATTGTCTCAGAAAAATATGAGACATTTCTCCTAATTTCTGCTCTGCTCCTTTTGAGGGAAGCCACTTCAACATTTGGTGAGTGCAGTGGTCTATTTTAAATACAGAATATTCTGCTATTTAGCAGTAGTGGAAGGAAAACCTCAAAGATTAAAACTACAGAGATTTAGGATTCAAAACAACTGCTAAGAAAGAAAGAAAGAAAGAAAGAAAGAAAGAAAGAAAGAAAGAAAGAAAGAAAGAAAGAAAGAAAGAAAGAAAGAAAGAAAGAAAGAAAGAAAGAAAGAAAGAAAGAAAGAAAATTTCCTCCACTAGAGGGCATCTTGACATGCACATAAGCAACAAGGCACCACTTCATCTAAAAGTGATTTTTATATTCATGTACTTACTCTGAAGAGGTTTTTTTAAAAATCGATAAAGGCCTCACTGATTTAATGAATCATTTAAGTCTATGAACCCAACAGTCTGGTTATCTTTTCTGTTGCAGAACATTAATGAGTTTGGTTGGGAATGACTATACTGAAAAAATTAATTCACATTAAAAAACAACAGTATTTGGAATAGTGGCTTTGATATATCAAAAAATTATTGTAAAGAAGAAACCACGCACAATTATGCAACTAATTGTACAGGCATGTATATTCATAATTTCTTTTAGGTTTGATTCCTATTTTACAATACAGCACAGAAAAGAGAAGGAAAGGAAAATTGCAGTCATAAAATAAAAGATAAAGCAGGAAAAATCATGTTTACAGTAAATCTGCACTACAGTAAACCTTCTCAGGCATAGAAGTGTGGCTACGTATTTTTATTCATCTCCCTAAATGCTGAGCATTTGAGTGTGTGTGTGTGTGTGTGTGTGAGAGAGAGAGAGAGAGAGAGAGGGAGAGGGAGGGGGGGGGGGAGGGGGGGAGGGAGAAGGGGGGGTCAGTGTGTCAAAATCTCTCAAAGTCTAATAGTAATAATAATTGCATATTATCAACTGGATTCCAATTGAAAGCAATCCTACTCTGGGTTTTCAAGGTACAAAGGACTCAGAAGTGATTTACCATTCCTTTCTTCTGTGAACCGTGGGACTCTATAGCATGATCAAGACCACATACTCTGATTCTTCTCCCAAGAGGCACACCAGAGAATTGAATTCCCAACCCCTGGCTCCACAAACAGATTCTCCAACTCAGTGAGCTTGGCTATAGCTTTCCCCAATCTAATCCCTTCCTGATGTGTTAGATAAGAACATTGATGCAGACAGGGGATGATGGCAATTGTAGTTCACCAAGAACAGGCTGTAGATCACAAATGTAGCCCTTTTACTTCTGGAAGTATAGGCAAATATGCAGACACTATTTTATCTACTTACTCACTAACCAAATATAGAGTTCGGTTATTTTAAACATACGACACCAGCCAAACTTAAGTACTGTTGATTCTGCACAGATGCCTCTCCCCTTTAGGACCCCTCACCACAAAATATTTGGCGACAACCCTGCTGAAACCTTTGACTGAACTTTAAGAGATTATTTAAGTTATTCAGATACAAAATGTGAAGCTTTACATTTCACTTGTGAAACAGACAGTGTGAACGCCCATAGAGAGAGGCCCTTCTCCAGATTTCCATCATCATTACTGATCTATAAGAGAACCAATGTTTGGTAGCAGATAGAGTACTGAAGTAGGGCCAGGGAATAAGAGTAGAGACGATCCATATTCAGGCATTAGGAAATGTGGAGAATGCTTATGTATAAAGATTCTAGCTCTAGTCCCTCACTTTGTCATCACTTCTGTTATCCTGCTACATACGGAGGATAATAAGCCTGTAAAAGACAGCCTCTGCCATTTGTGGGGGCCTGCCCTGAATTGGGACTTTGAAAGTCATGGTTCAAGCTCAAGTAGAGAACCTCACAAAAGACTGCAGCTCCCTCTGCAGACTCATTGGCCTGCATGTGCAGGAGGAGCAATGAAGCCAAGGATGGAGGGAGTGAGGTTAGAGTCTCTTCCCCTGTGCGTGACTATTCTTTCCACTTTGCAAGAGCTATAGGTTCAATCCCCAGTTGACCATTGATAACCTGGAGGCCTAGGCTGACCTGCCTAACAGACTAACCAACCTGAGCTCTTTGGAGGAAAGGCAAGTAAAAGTGTAGCAAATACAAATATTCTAATATAGCCAGCTGAAAAAAAATAATACAAGGATCTTAAATGTACATACATGTGTGTGCATATGAACACATACACACATACTCCAAGAACTTTACTCCAACTATTTAAATATTCTCTGTGAAAAGACAGCTTGTGTTTGCTTCTGGAAATAATGACTTGTGTCTGCAAAGGTAAGTAACTGATAATAAAGGATGCAAAACACCAATACCTCTGCCATTCAGATTGAGATATGGGCCATTCACAAACATGCACAAGCAAGATTTCATGCATGTATTATTAACTGGATATGAGCCTGGTCATACAAACGGATGCTGTATAAATGTACTGAAGAAGCTGCTCGGACTGTGTACACTGAATCCATTTCACAACCAGATTGAGCCCGGAGAAGTTCCTTTTATGGACCCCAGTTCCAACTTTGTGTAATCATCATTCATAAAGCTAGATCAAAGGAGGACATAGGATTTCTTTTGGCACTGACCAGATTGTTCAAATACTGGAATTAAACTGTGGTAAATCACAACATATAATGTCCTAAGTTTAGAAAAGTTCCTCATTTTTTGGACTGTAATCCCTAGAATCCACTCACAAAGATGACCACTGGGCCATGGATACATAATAATTTTGGAACATGGGACACATAATCATATATTTTTGTGTTTTTTTTCTCCTGGGAGATCAATACTTCAGAAACTTTACATGTCTAAGCTGTACCACTAGAGAGGGACATGACTGAGGATGGATCATTGTTCAGATCTAGAGCCCATACTTGGCAAGCATAAGATTATTAGTTCAGTCCCAGGCATTTGCATTTGGGGTGATCATGTAACAGGTGGAAAAGCAATTTCTGCCTAAGACTTTGGAGAGTCAACACTAGTTAGAGCTGGCAATACTGGACCAGATGGACAACCAATTTGGCCTAGCATATGGCTGCATGCTGTGTTCCTATGATACGTGCAATCAACACTCTTGCAATGATTTAAAGAAATGAGAATTGATGCCTCTGACTCCAGGTCCAAACCACACTGAAGTATTTGCAGCACAATCAGAAGAGAAAGCTGGAGGCATTCGTTTTTCAGCTGGGGAAAAAACACACATATTGCTAGTGTGTTACTTTAGTGTGATGAAAAAGATTTAACAATCTGCCGGAAGGAGTGTGTTGAGCAGAGGCAAGGAAAGAGAGCAGAGAAGGGAAAAATCAAAGCATTAAATTTATATATTGCTCCTGCAAAGCGCTTCTTTATGGGCATAGCTGCACCAATTTCTCGGTATCGCACATATGGAGCTTGTTCCATATGTGCTGCAAATAAAGACGTGATCAAGGAAAAGCTTAACATCAGTGACGGCTTTAACAGTAATAAGCAAGAAGTCTCACCTTTCGATGCATTCCTTTACAATGGCAAAATTTCCATCTCCTATAGTCCGACCAACTTTATATCTCTCTGCTATAGAGACTGGAACCTGGAACCCTTCCTCCAACACTTCTGCAAAGAATCGTTAGTACATTTTTATTGATAAAAAAAGGCAGCACAGATGTGACACACAATACATGTGTTACTTCTATGGTTTCGGACAACTGGAAACCATTCAGAATCAACCATCATGCCTTCCTAGACAGGGAAACCATGTCACTAGAATTGTATATACTCAATAAGTTTCACCAGATAAAGTATGTAAAGTTACTGGGTACTGGATTCAGTTTGTACACAATGACAAACAATCCTGCTTTGTGTTATGATGCATCTGAAAAAATACACAGACATATAAAACAGATGTTTTTGTGATCCAGTCAAGAGTGAACACTGCATTACTTCAACCCATCACAATTAAGTCTATCTACTAAAGGAGTCTAACACTTGAGCACTTCTTTTATTACATCCTGTAAATGGAGACCTCAATAACCTTGTTCATGTGATAAGTGCCATTTCCTCTCTCTCTTTTAAATAGTTAGTTTTTAAACAAGTGTTCTCAATAATGTCACCAACATATACAAGCTGGGCACCAGATGCTTCAAAAATATCACACTGAGTCAAACCACAGTGAGCATTTATTGAGAAGAGCAGAGTTTTCTAGTCATTGGATTTTAGTAGTCATTAGAGCATTGCTATTGTTCAGTTTTAAGTTGTTCAATTTTAAATTGTTTAAAAGTTGAAGCGATTTACCTCCAGCCACATGGACTGGGTTTTTACCACTTAAAACATTAGAAATAGCTATTTCAAATACAGTATTAGCATTGATATTTTCCTGTCAAAGAAGAAAAGTCCAAACTTTGCCCTCTTAAAGTAATGGAGTGAAGGGGGCTGAGGAAATGCCCTCCAGTGACTTCCCTTCTTCACTAACCATGGCAAATTTGGGCAGAAAAAGGAAGAGATAGAGGGAAAGTAGTGTCCTGCCAAACACAACAACAAGGAGGTGGATGTGGCCACAGGACTCCCCTGTTCTCACCCCTGATTTTGAGTGATGGATCTACAAGCACCACCAGACTGTGTGTCCAGTCCTTCAGAAGGAGCACAACCTGGTACAGAACAGAGAAATGTCCTTAATCAGAAAAACCAAGCATCCCTGCACTGTATCTATTTCCAGTCAGGATTCAGCCAACTGCTGGATCCACTGCATTGGTCTAAGACTTGCAGAGCCTTTTCCTGGCACAGATGTTGCAAAGAAACTAAGCATGTTATATGAAAAGTTCTGTTTAGTGGAAGTACACTGAAAAGAAGAACAAAATTAAGAGCCTACTCTGGTCAATGCTATTCATACACAGGTGCCATTCAGATTTTTTTTGGGGGGGGAGGGAAATACAACTTTTGCTCAATGTTTACGAGTGACTTTTTTCACCGGCTAACACATAGTTATCATCTCCATTTTCAATGTACATGTGCATTTTTGACCAGCGTGTCACTTCATTTACCTTCTCCAGGTCCATCATTTTCATCCATGGAGCTGCAGACTTTGGTGGATGCTAATGAGGTGGAGGAGCCACTGTGTTGAGAGCTCTAGGAAATACAAATTAGGGTAAAGGGAAGAGATGTAGTGAGAAAGGATTGTTAAAATACAGTTTCAATAAAGGGGAGGAGACAATTACTATTATGGCTGCAATTATTAAACAAGTACAGTAACACTTTCGCGTTCCTCAGCATAACTAAAATAGTTATTTCATGTTATCTTTAAAACCTCTGGATACTACAAGCCACTAGCCTCTACTATAGTACCTACTCTGCTCCTGTCTACCATGAATCTGCCTTTTGAATCACAGAACTGCAAAGTTGGGAGGAACCCACAGATCACTTAGTCTAGCTTGCTGCCATTACACAAAATCCATAGCTAAAGCATTCCTGATAAATAATCAGCCATAATAATAATTGAATGTCACCAAGTCAAGTCAGGGTTTTCCAGGTATACAGGATGCAGACGTGGTGGCACCCTGGGACTGCATGTTTTTCCCAATGTCACACAGACTAGCTCTTCTCCTACAAAGCAGAGTAGAGAACCAAACTCCCAACAGTTGGACCCACAATTCTCAAATTCACTGAGCTATCCAACCAGCTGTGTAAATCATGCCACAATATCCCTCTTCCTCCTTTAATTCACAGTTACCTTGAAGTGCTTAAAGTACACTGCAACACTCTCCTTCTTTAAGTTATAGTTCTGCTGTAACGTTGTACCTTCATTGTTGGAAAAAGAAATTAATTATGAATAAATAGCTATTTGTATATAATCATCACGCACCATCAAGTCAGTTCTCACTTGTGGTGACTTTTTTCCAGGTAGAGAATACTCAGAAGGGGTTTAAAACTCCCTTCTTCTGGGAGTACCCTTATTCTGATTTTATTCAATTATATTTGTATTTTAAACAATTGTGACGGCTTTTAGCTAATACAATAAACTTAAACTTGGCTGGGACTGTGCAGCTTGCCCAAGGCCACACAGACTGGCTTACTTCCAAACTATGCAACTTGTAGCCTTTTTGACTCTTCAGGCACAACCTGCTTCATTATTTACTGTTGAGCCTCTAGAAAGTTTCCATTGAGGAAGCAGACGATAGCATTTAAAACATTAATGTGTCCCCTGACTGTTTCTGTCATAAATCTGCAGTCTCCTCCTCGCCTCATGATCCTCATCAAATTCAGCATATTCCTGCTGAATACATTGGCCTTCCTCCTGCTCTCATGTCACACTGATTCTTAACAAATCTGTACTAGGGAGCTTCCCACTCTTCAGGATGTCTACTAAAACCCACCCTTCTAACCACTTCTGCTTGCTCTCTCCCATCACATTTCAAAAGAGAAAGGTAAACTTGCTTTCTTCCTCAAAGAATAGACACAGCAGAAAGGACTTTTGTTCAGGAAAGCTGAGAGGAAAGGAATGAAAATTATTCCTTTAGAAGAAAGATGTGAATGGGGGCAGGAGGACATACTTCAGGAGCAGAATGTTTTTCATAACAATGCTCCAAAAATGCTTTAAGATTACAGTATTTCTAAACATGAGAGGAATTATCTTCGCAGCCTCCTTTCTGCAGACAGCCAATGAGGAAGATGAATGACAACTTGGCAATGCCTTGCAAGTACTTGGGTCACAGAAGGGGTTTGGGTATCAGAGGCAGTGGTGGGAGAGGGGACAACAATCAACATTACACACAATAAATAATTATTTGTCAGAACACCTGGGACACTGGCTAAATGATGTTTTGAGCTAAGATGACTTAACACTACATCTAAACCATGACCTCATATACTTAGTGTAAATGTATATATTTGCATGACTCTTAGATAAGATGTTCATTATGTTTTTTTAAGAAATGTGTTTCCCATATATGAGGTTTGCTCCATTTGAACAAAAGCAGCCCGAAACTTTTGCTGTAAGGTTGCTACCGTATATTTAACAATGTAGTACCCTGAGATACACCCTGTAGTCTTTAATCCAGAATCTGTCTTCTAAAGTTCTTTAGCCCCTGTAGCATATTCCGTATGGCAATATAAGGAGGTAAACATTTGCCACCACTTCAAATTGCACCTGAAATATGCAGTTGTGCCCCTTTCATGCTATCTTCTTTTTATTTTGAAATCACACTTTGTATTTATAGTGAAGGCTTCTAAAGCTGGAATATGAGCTCTAGTCTGCCTAGCTTAGAGTTAACATATTGTCAGCCAGATCGCAAAGCATTTGTACCAGCCCACCTTCTTGCAACACTGGCGTATGTCATTGTGTACCACCATCATAACAGCATGTTACATGACACTGTGCTGGCATAACTATTTGTATAAATCTATCCTAAACTGAAGAGACTCTTGCCTATGTTGTTCTTCAAACTGTGACTGTTTGCCAGGCAAGGACATGGCAGCTCAATGTCTCTCCCTCTTAAGCCCTCCCTTTCTCTGATTCATGTGCCATAGTTTCCATTTTTCTAATACTCAAACAGAGGCTGACAGGTTTACCCTTTTCTGGCTGTCTCATACAACCAAATTGTGTTTGAACAGATAGCACAATCAATCGTCTCCCTCATGTTGCTTTGTTTAAACTACTGTACCTATGTTCCCTTTCCCATGAAAGTAAGGGAACGGTAACTAGGTTGTGAGTTTTTTAAATATACTTTTGTATATACAGTAATAGGTTGTAGCTTCAGACAGTTCTTAATTCAACCCTCCCAGATGTTTCTAAGTACAGAATACTTACCATAGATATTAAACCAGCTCTTGTCCTTTATAAAGATATTCTACATTCACATACATTTAGTTTCTCTTTCATCTCAGTGGTCTTCTGATTTGTGTAGCTATTTTCTTCTTTTGAAAAGAAACATTTCACTCATCACTGCAAACCTTTTTGCCCTTTAAGACAGATGTTTGCCATTGATTAAATACTTTTTAAAATTTGGGGGGGGGGAGTTTGTAAAACTCACAGACAATGAGGCAAAGGTCTGTGCTGCGTGAAATTGCAAAAGTCTTTAATCAGCACAACCTGTCACTGATAATGAAGTCATTTCTAGCTGCCCAGAGTAGTGGCATGCTCACTAAATGGGCAGGGTATAAATTTAAATAAATAAATAAAATAAACAAATAAACAAATTCCCATTGCGGAGGTAAAATGTGCCCAACAGGATTTCAGCCACTGTATTATTAAAAGGGTGTCAACAATTTCCAGGACTGAATGACCACTTCCTTTGGAGATCAGATACAATTTTGGTCTCTGTTACACATGCTGGTGTCAAGGCACCATGAATTGCTGCCCACAGACCTCACAAACTGGAGATGGAAAGCATCCTGCAAACTAGCTCAAGGCATCTTTAGAGGATTACTTAAGTGGTTGATCTATGGCACTATCATACTGGGCAAAAAAATCACCACATGCCTCTGTTGCTCTTCCACCAAGACACTAGGGGCAGATCTCAAAATTATGGCTTGATCTCATTTAGTAGACCTGACTAGAGCAGATGTATTGAATCAATGGTAAGTGTTGACTCACCATTCAGCTATTAATTCAGTGGACCTCTCTGAGCTGGGTCTGAAAGTTGGATTTCGGTTAATGACAAAAAACATTGAGGGGAACTGGTCCGAGTGGAATCACTGTAAGATTCCTGGACCAGGTAAACACATGATAATCTTGAAAATATTATATATAGTACATTTGTTGCTTTTGCAGGAAGAAAGTAGCTGCTTGCTACTTACATTTGAACCAGAGGTATGTAGATTTATGTCTTTGGATTATAACTCTCAGAAATCCCCATGCAGCTGCAGACTGGGGAATCCTGGCAGTTATACTCTTAAAAACACAAATCATTGTGATTTGAACAACGCTAAATGCAGTGATGGGAAGGAAGGAGACTTACCTCATGGTGTCAAATGTTAATGCATGATGGAGGGAAAGCATACAGCAAAACTGACCACACAAAGGAAAGATAATCAGAAAATATGCAACAGTCTCTGATTTAAAAAGCATGAGGTGAAAAGACTGCTACTCTGCCATTTATTTTTGTTCCCAGTGCTTCTACACATTTTAAACTATTAAATAATAGGCACCATAAACATATTTATGCTAATAACATGGGGTCAATGCAGTGACTTTCCACTGCAATAATTTATAATATGGCTACAGTGATCACTTTTCTAGGAGGCTTCTTTGAAATTGGATTTCACATATTTTGACAGGAAAATTAATATTTTAGCAGATAAAGGTTGTCTCTACCATTCTGAATATCATTTCAATTGATACTTTCTGACTGGAGGAAAATACTAACATTTAAATATTATTTTGTAATTTACTTTTTAAACATGGAATTTAATTATGAAATGTCCTGTTAAGTTGTTTTGGTTCCAAAGCTGCAGAATTCTTATTTATGAGTGAGATCTTGTTAACAATATTCAAGAAGGAGAGACAAATGAATCTCTAAAACAAATTAAGCTGCTGTTACTGTACTTTGGATAGAGACAGGCAAATTTACTAAGAAAGAAGCAATTATCAAAGTTTTAAAATTAAGACAACATTTTTATTTCTGTTCCTACTAGGTAGTACAGTAGGACGCTGTATCCACACAGGATTAGTTCCATGATCTATCATGGATGCCTGAAACTGAAGACCCAAGAGAAACCTATGTAAGGGGTGGGACAAAGGCCACAAGGAGGCACCTTTGTATGCTGTATATATGCCTGTGGCAAACCACAGATAAGTGCGACCATAGATACTCATAGAATCATAGAAAAGTGAAGTTGGAAGGGGACTACAAGGCCATCATGTCCAACCCCCTGCTCAATGCAGGAATACAATCAAAGCATATCTGCCAGGTGATTATCTAAGTTTTTCTTGAATGCCTCCAGGGTTTAAGCACTCACCAACTCCCAAGGTAACTGGTTCCACTGTTGTACTGTTCTAACAGTTAGGAAGTTTTTCCTTATATCCAACAGTAATCTGGCTTCCTTTAACTTGAGCTCATTGTTGCATGTCCTGCACTCTGGGATTATCAAGAACAGGTATTGCCTCTCCTCTGTATGACACTTGCAAGTAT